GGCCCTGCAGGGAATGGGGGTTCACCTGGTATTTCCACCTGCAGCAGGGAGAGCAGCTTGAGGAGGAAGATGGGTATCCAGCAGAGAGCATCCGTGAAGACGATGAAGAAGAAGCGCTTTGCGATGGCGACTTCCCGGGAGCAGACGCCTCTCTCCGCTGTTCTGGACGCAGTGACGTGGATGGAGTAGAACATGCCGGAGTAAGCAAAGACGATGGTGATGAAGGCTGCGAGATTCAAGCCTGGAGAGGAAGAAATCTCACTCTGAGCGTTGCCAGAGTGCAAACCTCGGGAGCTGGGAGCGGTGGCACAGCCGGTGGCAGCAGGACGGCTCCTGCTGTTATCACTAGAGGGGGCAGAGCCAACAGTCCCGAGTCCCACCTGAGCCCAGCGCTGCCCCTGGCCTTGGCCAGGGCTGGGGTGAAGCTGGGCACAGCACGAGGCTGGAGCAGGGACCCCCTGCAGCCTGGGGTGAGGGCAGAGCTGTCACCCCCATCCAACAGGGTCCCAGGGGGGTGGCAGCGCCCCGTGGAGTCAGACGTCCCGCTAGCGGGGGCAGCACGGGCTCCCACGGCACCCGGGAGGGGACCGCTGGGCTGAGCAGCCCCGCTCCCACCCGGGAAGCCCATCCTGTCCCACATTGTCCCAGCCCCGGGTCCCAAGTCCTGAGGTGACCTTACCCAGGTAGATGGTGGCGGAGTAGCCCCGGGCACTGGGCCGCTCGCCCAGGTCAGGCTGCAGCGGGAAGCACACCCCGTTCCTCCCATAGTAGTTCCCGAAGGACTCCTTCCACCAGAGGGGGATGATGCTGAGGGAGAAGCCCAGAAGCCAGATGGCCACTAGCACCGAGATGGTCTGCTTCTTGCCCGCCCTGTGGTGGCTGAACGGGAAAGCGATGGAGGAGTACTTCTCCAGGGTCACGTAGGTGAGCAGCAGGACGGACACCTCGGAGGAGAGCATGGCCAGGCTGCCCGCCAGCTGGCACTGCAGGCTGCCCATCCAGCCCTGGGCGTGCTTGTTGTATTCGCCCGAGTACTTCAGGTCGAAGGCTCCGATGATGAAGAGGTAGATGCCCATCAGGCCATCTGCACCTGGGGGGAGGCATGGTATGATGAGAAAAAAACACCAGTGGGCACATGGAGCCCTTTGCATTAATGCCATGGGAATAAAGCCATTGTGGAGCCGGGCAGCCTTTGCCTTTATGCATATACATATATATATAATATATAATATAATAT